AAAAAAAAAAAAAAAAAAAAAAAGAAAGAAACAAAGAAAGAAAGAAGGAAAGGAAAATTCATTTATTTATATTTAGCTATTAAAAGGAGGGGAAAAAGAGTACCTTCTTAGAGCAGTGGCAGGGATTAAATGAGGTAATACATATGGGTGGAAGGGTCTGACACAGGATGACTTCCAGTCGGTGTCACACAAGCCCAGCGCACCTCGTGCTGTTCTTAGTTGCATGGTTGACATGGATGCATTTTCCTTATGGTGCTGTCACAGTGGAAGGCAAATAGGGCTGTTAGTGCATCTCTGCACTCTATTTTTTTAAAAAAATGTATTTAGCACAGGGTCTACAGGGTCTCACTACACAGATCGGACTCGTAGTGATCCTCTTGTTTTCAGCCTCCTAAGCCCTGGGATTACAGGTGTGTGCCACCATGCCTGGACCAACTCTAGGCATTTTTAAGAAGGATCCATTGGTGCTTTCTACTTTAATAATCATGTCATCTGCAAATAAAGAGAGTTTTATTTCTTCCTTTTTTAATCCATACACCTTTAATTTCTTTTCTTGTCTTATTGCACTAGCTAGGACTTTGGAGTGATGAGAAAGGATATTCTGGTCTTCTTATGAACATTAGAGGAAAAGCATTGTGTCTCTCACCAAAAAGTGTATTTGCTGTAGGTTTTTTGCTTATATCTTTTTTTCAGGTGAATGAAATTCTCTTGCAGTTCTCATTTTCCAAGATTTATAGAATGTAAAAGTTTTATTTTTTATTTTTTTTTAATCTAATCTAATGAGAGATCTGGCTCATGCTCATACTTTTCCAACTGGGAAGTGAGTGAGGGAAAGAACGACAGTCCACTGTTGAATCTTCCAGTGACAAGTCCCCGAGTCAGCTTTCTGTCGCCCTGAGCCTGCATCTCGCTTCGTAAAGCCAGGGATCTCTATCAGCAGCCTTCAGGAAAGAGGCAGCAGAGGGTGGAGTGATGAAGCCTCTTAAATATGGAGAGCCGTCCCTTCTTATCTGGGTGACCTTGGATGAATCATAAAGCCTCAATTCTGAAATCAGGATTGTAATTACCTTATCAGGCTATGAAGATGGGTTGAAATGGTAATAACTCTAAAGCACTGTACAAATTTAAATTATCTTTTAGAAGACAAGTTCTTGGAGGACAGGATCTATGTCAGTTCATTTTTGTACGCTCTAACTAATCTGGAGCATAGTAAGTGCTTAATATGTATGTAATTATTGCATTATTACATAGATTCATCCCACTACGATCTCATTTCATTGTTTGCCCTTGGGCTGTGTCGGGGGTGTAGTACACAGTGGATGGTACCACAAGGCTCTATGACCTCAGAAAGGATATCCAAACCCGCGAACGAATAACTGAACTCCTTGGGTGTTTAAGGGAGGTCTTCCAGGTAAATCTCCCTGCAAAAGATTGGCTCCTGGTAAATGATTACTAAATGCCAGCTGTTATTTTTATTTGGAACCCAGTCAACTAGAGAAGAAAAGCTGTAGGGGTTTTGGTTTATTTGTTTGTGGTTGGTTTCGATTATCTCCTGGAGGAAACATCCTTGTTTGCTTGAGGTTGAGAATAGAGGGTGAGAAGGAGGAAAACAAGTAGCCCGAAGCTGACCTTTGGTCTGGTATTTCCTTTTGGGCAGATTTACTAGTTTTCCTCTTTTCCTAGCACTACTCAGTCCACTAGGTGACACTGTTTACTCATCTATGTCACTCTGCTCAGGCCTTCAAGGCAAATCTTAACTCAAAAGTAGTGTGTTTTAGTGTGAAGTGGTGGTGGAGGAATGTGTGTTGGAGAAAAAAATACAAATAAATTGTTGGTGACCAACCTTGAGGTACAGTGAGGGGCCAGTTGTCACCTCTAGTTATCTGTGACTTATAGGCTGGTGTCACCACGGCTCTCTAACCTGCTTTTAAGAGCAACATGCATTAGCTTCTACTTTTGCTCCAAGAAATGAGAAAAAACTTAGACTGCTCCTTCTCCCCATCACCACCAAACTGAAGATAAAATAAATTGTGTGGCTTTGAGTGGAGAGCTTCAGAGATGCTCTCAAGGGTCTGGTTTCTCCGTTACTCTTCAGGATTCATCAATGAAGGTGCCCAAGCACTAGGGAACAGGTGAAGCAGCTCCTAGGCTCAGCTTGTATTGGGCTCAGGTTGAGTCCTAGTAAGTCATTGCTGAGAAGGAGGGTGCCACAGTGCCCCTGTTCGAATGTGGCATTTGGAGAGGCTCTCCTGGCCTTCTGGGTCAGTTCTGGCTCCATCTCTGTGTAGCTTTATTGCCACACCCTCACCGGAAGATGTTTCTTATCTGGATACCACCCAGCTGAGATGTGTGATGATTCCAAACGGCACATATCACTCCTGGTTAGAGAAATCCTCTCCAAGTCACTCTCTTCCCTCACATCTGCAAGCTGTGAGCCACAGGAAGTATCTCAACCAGAGGGCTCAGAAATCAAAGATTCCATTCATTTGCCTCAGATCTTGGTGTCTTATCTTTTCTGCTTATCATCCCTTCTTCATTTTTCATTCTAACTTTAAAGTTGACTTATGTATGCTGTCCTGCTTCTAAGCTGTGTTCTTTGGTCCTCAGAAACGACACAATTAGAATTATCTAACAAATATTTCTCAGTTCCAAATATTCCTCCTAAAGCTTTCCTGGCCTCCTGGCTAATGAGCTCCAATTCTCTTTGCTTTCCTGTGTCTACAGCACGTAGCACCTTGAGTTGGTGTGCGATAAACAGCTAAATATAGCCACAGTTTTGGCAGCTAACTTTTAGAAGACTGTCACAAGGCCCCTAAAACAGGAATTAAACAGATTGAAAAGGCCAACTCTTTTGTACTTGGGAAGAGAGGACGCTTTGCCTATGTTGTGAACAGTGGTCTCTTTCATGTGTTTGTGCTCTGCTTTATTTAAGTAACAGTAATAACGTTAATGATTGTTAACAGAAGCACTGTTAAATACTCAGCACCCCTGTCTGCAATGGGGCCTCTTGCAGAAAGCTCTTTCTATGGCACTAACACTGCAGAACTGGCGGTCGTGTGAGGAGGGGAGCAGAGCAGATGACAGCAGCCTTTTCTCTGGATACACTGAACAGCAGTCGGTGGCTGAGCCCCCGTGACACGTGGGATTTGTCCAGTGGAATCTCCATCCTGCCTGGTCCTCTGAGGAAGGAAGAGAGGGCAGGAAAAAAGAGCACGGGAGTGAGGGCCAGAGAACTTCAGGTTTGGCTTTGGCACATTTGATTGCTAGCTGTTGGAGCCATTCTCCCAAGAAGTGGATACTAATTATTCTGAGGGTGCCAAGCGGTGTCACGTTTTTGTAACTCAAACAAATAGTCCCAGCAGATGGACAGAGGCCACCAAACTGATTTCATTTA